ATTTGGATTTGAATTGAATGAAGTTTGAGATTTGAATTGATCAAGGGTAGGGATTAACTTGAAGTTGGAGTTGATCAAAGGTAGGGATTGATTTGAGGTTGGAGTTGATCAAAGGTAGGGATTGATTTGAGTCTAGATTGGTCCTAAGATTTAGAGGGGTTCTAAGATCTAGGATCTAGAGGGGCTCTAGAATTTGGGATATAAGAGAATCCTAAGCTCTAGAGTAGGCCCTAAAGTTTGGCTCTAGGAAAGAATCTTAAGCTCTAGAGTGGATCCTAGGATCTAGGATTGATTTGGAGTTTGGAAGGGCCTTAGTGACCTCATACAAAAATGAGGTCAACATCCCCGGAGCCTCTCCTCCGAGTATTGCACTAAACATAATGTCTCCCATTTTTCCCCCACAAAAAGGCAGAGAAGCCTTTACAACCCTCCTTTCCACTGACCCTAGTGAGGTAGAGAACCCAACTCCTTTTACTTTCTCCAAAAGCAGGCAGAGAATCCAACTCCTTTTGCTTCCTCGAGAAGTAGGCAAAGAACCCAACTTGTTTTGCTTCCTCTTGAAGTAGGAAAATAACTTAACTCTTTTTTCTTCCTCCTGAAGCAGGCAGAAAACCTCGATTAGATGCTGAAGTAGACATCTCTAGAACCCCCAAGAAACTAGGGATGATGATCGAAGAAGATGATGATGGATCCTTGCTTGAAGTAACCTTTGTGAAACCCCTCACAAACTCTCCCTCATAAGATCTTCTCTCTCTCCCTTGCTCTCCCTCTCCTCTTGGCTCTCTCAAGTGAGGACAAAAACAAAAGATACTCTCTTGGGTAGAAAAAGAGGACTTATATAAAAGAGCTTCAGAATAGCTCTTAATTGTAACAAACTGACTTTATCGTCTAAGATGATATAAAAATTATCTCGTGTAATTAGTACAAATTTAACTTAATCAGCCAGGATGATATTGGACGATCAAAATATTTTTGTTCATATCATCTAGGATGTTAGTATATCATCCTGTATGATTAGTACAAGTCATTAAATATCATCCAGAACATCACCCAGAATGGATGTCTAGATGATGGAAAAAAAAAACTTGATCGTTCAGGATGATCTCACGATCGTCTCGAATGATTAATTTAATTCAATGCATATCATCCAGAGCATTGCCTTGAATAGAAGCAGGCCGATATTTGATCGTCCAGGAACAACTAAGGTTTGTGAATTGATCATCTCGGTCGATCCTAAGATAGTGTAGGACGATATAATTGAGTAATCAAACCTTAATTTATTTCCTTAATTACAAGATTAATTTAGGCATAATTGCATTACATTGTCTAGGATGATATCCTCGACAATGTCCAAAAATAAAAGATATCTAATTAGATCTGGCGGCTGATTCTTTCTGATTTGAGCCTATCGTCCCGGCCAATACGAATATCATTCAGGATGATACGCTTAATGATAGCTTCCTTAACCATGATGCCCTAATTAAGGTTTCTATTTTTAGATGATCTTCCAGGCCAACTTTTGGATCATCCCGAATGATGGGACGAAAATAAAAAACTCTAAAAATAGTTAAAAATTTTCCCCAAAGTGTGTGTGTAAGGTTACTTAGTCTCATGAACCATAATGTTTACAATTAACTCAAGAAAAAGTAAAAGATTACAGACTAACTCAGATCTAGTCTACCTAATCTTGAGCTTCTTTAATTTACAGTTTGATCTTGTGGACCTGAATTAGTAGGCAAGATAGTCGTATAGAAACTGAAGTATTTGCTATCATCAAAATTATATTTCTTGAAAGCAGATTCAAAATAATTCCTCTTTTTTTATGATGGAAAATAATCAAACAATCAAAATTAAATAAAATGAAAATAACTCAAACACTACTCCCCCTTTTGACATCACAAAAAAGGAGGAGGAAAAAACTAGAAAAGGAAAAAAGGGAAAAAGAAGAATGAAAGCAAAGTTTTTTTTAATTAAAGTATGAATATGATAATATCTCAATGTGATTGATTTTAAAGACTTGTAAAACCAATGAGTTATCAAGATCAAATTTTGAAATCGGTGAAATATCCGATCCTATTAACGCTAGCTCAAACTTCTCTTAGGGTAAAATTATCTTTTGAAAACAAAAGACCTAACTCTGAAAAACTAATTGGATAAGAAAAAGCGATCCATTCAAAACTTAGTTTCAGAAAATTATCTTTTAGAATAATGTACCAAAGTAATTTGTCACAATCGTAAAATTCAAAATCAACCCTTTGAAAATATCAAGTTACACATGAATTCTTCTAAGTTTTAAAAGTTTGAAAGAAAATAAAACTTGCTTTGGGGTGCTCATTTTATGCCTCTTATCAATTGAATGGCGCGCTTTGCGTATCTTTTGATTTTTGATACACTTTGTGTGGCGTCATTATGAACCTTTTGATTTGGCGTAATTGGACACTTTTTTTTATTTTCGCAAGCTAGATCCCTTTTCAAAACTCTTAAATATTCTCGGTTGTGAGTATATCTTCTAGATATTAGAGAAGAAAAACTCACTCTCTAATATAAGGAAGAACAAACCACAAAATAGAATCAAAATTATATAATAAATATAATGATAGGATAATGAGAAAACTTGAAAGTAATATAAAGACTTTGAACATTATAATTATAAGATAGATTACTGTAACAAGATAGAAAAGATCTCAATCATAAAGTCCAGTTGTTAATTTGAGATAAACTTTTATTTAAAAAAGAAAATTATACCATTAAAAGAGGTTAGAGGAAGAGAAACAATCAACAGTGTTTTCTCCTTAACAAATTAAGAGATATAAAATATTGACTTCAAATTAAAAAAAAAAAACATGGCATAAAATATCATTTCAGCGGTGATCATAAAAAATAAAAACTAAAATAACAAAAATAAAATAAAGAAAATAAATAAAAAACTAGTAAAAAATAAAACAAACAAAGTGAAACAAAAAAAAGCAACAAAATAGAAAATTTAGAATTTAGTAAACAATAAGTTCATGCATTTATGTCAATCACACCCAATCTAGTCCTTAAGATGCTGAAAGTGCCAAAAGCCAATGGTTTAGTAAAGATGTCAGCCAATTGATTCTCAGTTATTATATGGTATAACTCAATGTCTCATTTGGTCACATATTCTCTAATAAAGTGATGTCTTATGTTAATATGTTTGGTCTTTGAATGTTGGATGGGATTCTTAGAGATGTAGATGACACTAGTGTTATCACAAAGTATTTAAATTATGCCTATAAATAATCCTAAATCTAAAATTTATTACTTCAACCAAAGGACTTAGGCTACATAACTTCCTAAGGCAATGTACTCAATTTCAATAGTGGAAAGTGCAACAAAGTTTTATTTCTTATTAGACCAAGAGACTAAAGACTATCCTATGAATTGACAAGTTTTAGAAGTGCTTTTTCTATCTATCGTACATCTTGCAAAATCAAAATCAGAATATTTAATAATCTCAAAAGAAGTTCTATGCCTAGGATATTAGATTCCTAAGTTTTGGGTCCCCATAAGATATATAAGAATTCTTTTAACTACAGTAAGGTGAGATTTTTTAGAATCAGTTTGAAATCTAGCATAGAGACAAATACTAAATATTATATCAGGTAGACTAGCAGTTTGGTAAAGTAAAGATCTATTCATCCCTCTATACTACTTTTGACAATAGATTTTTCATTTGTCCTTATTCATCTGAATATTAAAAATCATGGGAGTATTTATTGGCTTGACTTTATCCATTTCATATTTCTTCAATATGTCTTTAATGTACTTTCATTGACTTATAAATGTTCCATCATCTAATTATCTTATGCTAAACCCAAAAAAGTAGAACAACTCTCCCATTATACTCATCTCAAATTCCTTACTCATTATTTAAAAAAAATCATCACATAGCTTTTTATCAGAAGATCCAAAAAATATATCATAAACATAGATCTGAACAATGAGTAACTCATCTCCTACTTTCCTCAGAAAAAAGGTGGTGTCTACACTTCCCTTAACAAAATCCCTCTTTAGTAAAAATGTGCTAAGCCTCTCATACTAAGCTCTTGGTGGCTATTTTAATCCATATAAGGCTTTTTTTAATTTGAAATATGATTTGGAAATTGGGAGCTCTCAAAACCTAGGGGTTGCTCTATAAACACATTCTCTTTTATTACCCCATTTGAAATGGTACTTTTCATATCTATTTGGTAAAGTTTAAATCCCTTATAACAGACAAAGGCTAGTAGCACTCTAATAGCTTCCAATCTTGAATATCCTAAGAATTATCCTTCATCAGATTTTGGGTCAAATTTCCCTAAGTGTGACTTCCCATTATTATGAATAAAAACCTTCCAGCCAAAGACATGGAGGTGGAAAAGATTGGGTGTCCTACCCTTAAGGATATCATAGGTTGTCTTATCTAGTTTGAATCTAACAATCACCCTATTTAATACATAATAAGTTGTGTTTATCACTTCAGCCCAAAAGTACTTTGGAAGTGAATACTCAGCATGTAGGGCTCTAGTGGCTTCAACTAAGATCCGGTTCTTTCTTTTAACTACCTCGTTCTGCTGAGGGGTTTTAAGAGCTGAGAAATTGTGACTAATCCACTTATCCTCACAAAAGTCTTCAAATCTCCCAATTTCAAACTCTCCCCTATGGTCCCTATGAATGGTTAAGATCTCGTAACCTAGCTTTTTTTGAATCCAAGTGAAGAAGGATCTAAACTCATCAAATGACTCATTGTGCTGTCTCCAAGAATAACTTTGCCTTCTGTCATGATCTCAAACAATGTGGGAAGCTAAAAATTTGAATAGACAGTTGAAAAGTAAAAAATTTCCAGCCACTTTGACCTTTTCACCTTACTCTAGACGGAACAGATCAGTGGGGCTGACAAACCAGACGGAAGATAGCTAATAGTCCATGTCTACAATCCACACGTAACAATTTTATCGAATGCAAAGCTACGGCATAAAATAATTTCTCCATCAAATAAAACATTAATCTCCATTTTTTTGCATGGGGAACCGAGAGATGTTTTTTTAAGAGAACGACAGGTTCTCTTTTAAATTCAAACTGGCCATTTTACGCGCATGATTCCCAACGGCAGCTCTGCAAGTTTGGTGGTGGAAAAGAGCAGTGTTCATCTATGATCGTTCATCTATAGCCATAGAAGAGCCAACAAGTGCCGAGGGAAAGTTTCAGACAGGTTAATGCTCCCGCAGGAGGGGTTGAAGAAAGTTGGATTCAAGTGAATAAGTGAAGAAGGGAGAAAGCGGAGATTGAAGGGGCTCCTGCGGGGTGCCTGAGCGAGCGAAGCTGCACCAACACCGAAACGAAGAAGAACCTTGTAGAGATCGGAGGAGAAGGAAGGCAGGAGAAGGCGCTGCCTCTAGGGTACGGAGCATGAAACCCTAGCCGCGCTCTCGCTGTTCGCTGCATACGTTGTTTGTTAGTGTCAGCTGATTTTTTGCGCGATCGAGCCTCTCTTTAGTGGCTAGGAGAAGCAGACGGGATTCTTAGCAATCAATGGCGGAGGAGGAAAGAAGGCCCCTCAGCCTTAACGAACGCCTTGCCCAAAGCCTCTCACGCAGTCGAACTACCTCCCATTGCACTACTGGTATGACGTCTCCCTTCCACCAGCAAACAAACGAAAATGAAGGTTCTTTTGTTCCATCTTTGGATGCAGAAATTAGGGTTCGCAAGGTAAAGCTGGAAGGACGCCGTCGCCTCTGCAAACTCTCCTCTAGGACTGACAGCGGGAAACCTGGCAGCATGTTGTCATCGGGTTCATCACCGGGAGAAAAGTCTGATATCGGCGGTTGTGATAACGTCTGGGATGTCCTCGATGATCTCAGCTCACGGTTGGAGACACTCTCTGTTGAGAACCCAAACCGCAATTTGCTGCCGGCCCCGCACGAATCAGAAGCTGAATTCAAAAGTGCATCCTCTTCGCTTTCTTCGTCTTCATCCGATGAAAAGGGAAGCGAGGGAATTGAGAAAATTAAAGGGAAAGCTGTGAGGTCTTTGGTTTTAGAGCAAGACGAGAGCATGCATATTAAGGGGGTAAAAGGGAAAGATGTGGAGCGATTGGTTCTAGATGATGATAGTGATAAGGATGATTGTGTTGTTTTGGGAAGCGATGATAAATTAAAGTGGGGAGAGAGGGATGCTACCATAGAAGATATCAATATTGATAGCGAGGATTCCATTGGGATGAATGGCGCCGGTAGGTGCAGGGCTTCAAGGTACACACTTCCTGGTAAGATAGCGAAGATGCTCTATCCGCACCAAAGGGAGGGTTTAAAGTGGCTTTGGTCTCTCCATTGTCGTGGGACAGGAGGGATTTTGGGTGATGACATGGGTCTGGGAAAGACCATGCAGGTGAATAAGCTATCTGATGGTTTACTATCTTACTGCTTCTGTTTGTTGAGATAAAAGCATAGACCTGCGTGATATAGTAATTTATCAGTTTTTTTTTGTGTGCCTCAGACCATTTTCTAGTAAAGTGAATAACAGAAATAAAAACTTTTGTTTAGGAACAAATCACTGAATCTAACAGTCATGCTAAGATTTATCTGCACAATCATATTTATTTCATTTAAAGAATCATTTCTTACATACATTGCAGCTAGGTTTACAAATTACCAGAAGGTTCATAATAATATTCTAGATTTTGGTTTTGTTCCATATGTGCTTAGTAGAACTTCCAACTTATTCTTTTCTTTTGTCTATTTCATAAGGCCTAATTGTTGCCATTCCCTTGAAAAACTTATTGGATACCACCTCTAGATTGATACAAGAGTATTGGTTTCCAATTTTCATAATATGATTGTTGTTTAGTATAGATTTAGACTTCGTTTGGGATGACTTTCTAACTGCTTCTTAAAGCAGCTTTATGGTATAAAAATTTTAATATTTAAACTAGAAAGTTGTTTTAAAAAGCAATAAAAAAGCCAGTCCCAAACGAAGCCTTAGATTCATTAAATTCATTTGGATTGAGAGCATAGTGATGTATGCCTCTTTCTAATAATAACCTCCGATTTTCAGATTTCTGCTTTTCTTGCTGGACTTCTTCAATCTACCTTGATCAAAAGGGTGTTAGTTGTTGCACCAAAGACGCTTCTTAGCCACTGGGTGAAAGAACTATCGGTTGTTGGGTTGTCTACCAGGATAAGAGAGTAAGGCTTACATGGTTAGCTTCTTTTGCAATAATTTCTTATGCATAAGTACTTGATGCCTATCCCAACCCTCACCTTCTATCTGCAAAATGTGCTCATAAATTCCTCACAGTCACCTTTCGTCACAAATCAAAAAGTCTGATAGATTGGGACCTTCCCTATTTTTTCACATGAGTCATCATTTCACTCTTGTGTTTTGTAGGTACTCTGGAACTTCCCCAAAAGTGAGAGAATTTGAACTGCGAAGTGTGTTGAAGGTCTAGCACTCCTCTATCTATCATAAGATGTTGTAAACTACCTCGTGAAAACATAATGTTTTTTTTTTCCGTCCTGTTTATATTATGGGATTGAGATAATTTGAATGCGATTTGTTTTATTTTCATGAATCTGTCTTTAATTCCATTATGCCTTGATTCTTTGTAAGACGATACTTAATTCAATGGACATAATTTGTGGTTACCAAAGAAGGAAGTTACCGTTTGTTTTACGATTCAGGAGGGAGGAATTCTGCTCACTACATATGATATTGTCAGAAACAATTCAAAGGCCATTAGAGGGGATTGGTATATTGATGATGATAAAGTTGAGGATGACATAATTTGGGATTACACTATACTGGATGAGGTTGGTTGATTATCAATTAACTATTACAGTAGTTGCTTTGGTATGGGCTGTTTCAAAATGCTGGTTTTATGGTGCTTACATCAAATTTTCCTTTAACAAAATTTAATCTGTTCCAGTTCTTCATATGTTCTTTTACAGTTAGTGATATGTTAAGGGACCTATAGGTACACCTAAGACACGTAATTGATCTATACATTATTTAAATGTTTTCAAAGGTTGATGTTATCTTATTTGACACCTTCATTCTTTTTTTTTTTATTCATATATTTACTAGAGTACTCTATTCTACGGTACTTAGTGCACAACGTTCATCTAAATTTGTTGAAGTTCTAAAAACCCTAATATGAAACATGAGTCATAGAAGCAAAATGAGCAAAGCGAAAGATATTTGCTGGGTACTGTTATGTTCTATGACGTTGTTGTTTTTGGTCCAATATTATGGATGGAAAATCACATAGATTTTTGTTTAAATTTGTTGACATTGGTATGTACTTTTTGGTGTAGATATAACAAGCAATATATATCCAGATGAAACTAATATATTGAACAAGCATGCAATTTTCATAGGAAACAAACAATTAATCTTAAATTAACTATTTATTGCCTTACATGAAAATTGAAAATGGTAAATTAAATTCATATAGGAATAATTTGTTCTTAGATTATAACGTATTGACAAGAAAATTATGGATCACAAATGCTAATAAAATTTCATGAAAAAAGAAAACTAAAATTCAAATGTAGCAAGTATAAAAAACTATAACTCACTTTTAACCCATAATAAACAATAACCCAAAGATCTTTTTGCATCTTTTGGAATTCAGACCCATTTAAACATTTATAAGCATAGCAGAAGGAAGATTTTGGCTCTATTTTGTGCACTTTAAATGTATCCGATGATTAATGGCTTTTAACGACTAATGAATTGTTGGAAATGCCTCATTTTTGCACTGTAGATGTTTCCGCTTCATCCAATATGGCCATCCTTTACAGCTAGGTTCTTCAACAATGATCAAAACATGTTTTAAAGGTTGACCACCACATTCGTTTTTTAAGGTTCAAATATATACTTTTAGTGCCTCAATCGATACCATCTTTGAGTGGATCTATTATACATCAGACATAGATTTGAAACTTGGTTGTGATGTTGAAGTAATTCGTTTTAAAATGATTTTGACCTTGCCAAAGCTTAAGTATTATGACAATTTGAGTTATACTCAAGTCAAAAGTTTTTGAATAGATGATGACAAGTATTGCGATTCTTAAATTTTGTATTGACAATAGTTTTGAAATGTCATCTTATCTATGGAAAAAGCGGAGCAAATATATTTTGATCTTGAAAGGAAAATTAGCACAAGCTGGATCAACTTTTTTGAGCTTTGTGTAGACATTATGTCAATTATAATAGCAGAATATTATGCTTGCGTTAATGTCGGACTTTTGCTGTATGTTTTTCTTATAAAATATCATTATTTTATTTTTGGATGGTGGTCCAACCCCCACCTCTAATTGACATAAAAATTGATAATATATGTGTTTCTTTAAAGGATAATTTTGAACCTTGACCCCTAATAGAGATTGACGGCCAAAGATCAACTAAATTAGTGCTAGGACCCAAAAAAAAAAAAAAAAGCTTAATGTAAATAGCACATATTTATTGATTTTTTTGATTCAATTACAGGGACACATTATCAAAAATCCCCAAACACAGAGGGCAAAAAGTTTATTTGAGATACCGAGTGGTCATCGCATTATTATTAGTGGAACGCCAATACAGAACAACCTCAAGGTATTGTTCATTCGATATCAAGAATTAGCATGATATTTTCTTGTGTCTTCTACTTTTGTTTGAATGATTTTCCTATTATAAAATTAAGACATTTGTTCAACTTATATTTTGAGCAGGAATTGTGGGCATTGTTTCACTTCTGTTGTCCTGACATCTTGGGTGGCAAGGATGAGTATAGCTCTTTGTTCTTACAACTGTTGAGTTTTCTATAGCTTTGCTCAGTAATTATTGATTACTGTCTTTTGTTCCTTAGATTTAAAATAAAATATGAAAATCCAGTCCTCCGTGGAAATGACAAGCATGCTTCTGATCGAGAAAAGCGTGTTGGCTCTACTGTTGCAAAGGTATGTTGTCTTCATTTTGCTCATTCCATTTTTATGATTTGCAAATATGAACCTTGCCTTGCCTGACAATGATTTTTTGCGACCTGATCATGCGTTTTAAGACAATAATTTCAATTTTGAGGTTTTTGGTAAAAATTAATCATATTTTTCAAAAAGCTTAATTGTATGGAAGCTAAAAATGAGGTTTATGCCAAGCAAAACAAGCATGCTTTCTAAAACACAATTGTATTCAAAATAGTTTATAATTTTTTTTAAAGATAGAAATACCCTTAATACTGTTATTATATTACCTCAAAATACTCTTTCTTGCATTTTGTTCGACTTCTTATCCATCTTTGTTTTTATTACTCGAGCCTGAAGGGTATTGCTAATCCTTTCAATAATTGTTTGTCCATTGCTTTTAGTTATTCATCTTTGTTCTTGTCATTTGCCCAGAAGGATTGCCACTCCATATGCTGTAATTCTTCTATCGCTTTCATCATGATGTTTGGTGAAGAGGGGTCATTCATATGAACTTGAATAAGAGTGATATCAATTCTTTCAAAACCCCTCCCATCTTTTTTAAAGAAGAGATAATTGAGATTCCAATGCTTGATATTTCATTAATTGTTTTACAAGATACATGGTTGATATTATTTATTAATAACTAATTATTTTTAATTTTATCGTTTGATCGATTCTTTTCACTCCACACCTGTTTTACCAAACAATTTAACTAATAACAATAATTCATGATGCAATTTTAGTAGCAATTTAACCAAATAATAATTTTCTTTTCAGAACAAGACAGCAGAGCACAAGATACTAGACAATTTAGCTGAAGGGGCAGTTAATCCTGCAGTCACGAGTTTAAATAGTTTCCATATGGCACCTATTTCTCCTCAATGTTTATTGTTATCGTCTTAGTAATTATTAAATTTTAAGCTCTTTTCTAATACAATTTTTAATTTTACTGTAAGTTTTGTCATCCTATTAGGGATATACATTGAGTTTACGGTGCAAGATAAGAAAAGAGGAATCTCAATTTAGCATTCCGTTCAATATCTTGGAGTATTAGATCATTTGACGATTGATGCACTCTCACACTAACATTCCTTCGTGTTGTTCCAATTTGACTAAAACAGTATGATGCCTAACTATCTAAAAATTTTGTTGGCTCTGCGTGGTTCTAGCTCCTCATAATTTTAATAAGCTTGAGCGTGAATATTGTTGTCATCATTAAAAAGGTGTTTAATGTTTAGTTATGCAAACTATTAAAATTAGATACTTTGTGATGTTACACTTTGTTTTTGCTTTTAAGATGTTTTCTTTTTTATTTCCCACATGATATTAGGCAAATTTTGAGAAGCTTTGTTCTGGATTTCTCTTTATACTAATTTTACTTGTTTGAAGTCTTCTATGCAATGTTCTTAATTTTTATACATGATGTAGACAAAGGGGGGGTCAACTCATGTCCAAAATAAATCAATTTTGGCCTCCCTCGAGTTTATAAGCTCAATCAAAATTAAGTTGAAATTTTAGCTCATTTATGAGCTGATCTTTAGTTTACTTATTGAACTAAGGGTTACCTCATTATTAGCTAACATTTTAGTTCATAGTTATCTTTTTATTAATATAATTTTTATTGTTTTTTAATTATGTTTGTCTCTTGGAATTCCAAACCGGCTTTTGGAATTCAAAGATGTGTTGTTTCCCATGCCGTGGCTCCTTGGCTTCCACCATGGGCTGCTGTTTTCCGTGCCTTTGCCCCTTGGATTTCCGGCCGGTTGCTGGTTTTCCGAGCTTGGGTGTTTTCCCGTGGCTATGGCGCCTTGGTTCCGTGCGGCCTTTTTGGCTCCCGTGGTTGTCCCTTCGGTTCTTGAGCTTGGGCTGTTTTCCGTGAAGCATGGGGGGATTTCCATGCTTGTGATGTTTGGATTTTTGTGAGAATTCAATGTTTGTGTCTTTTGGTATTCCCCTTTCATACCTATAAATATGAGGGGCTTGTTATGTTTTAAGTTAGTGAATGATATGTTATTTTTGGAAAAGCTATAACCTGCGGGTTTGTTTGGAAATGCTTGCGAGCTTTGTCCGTCTTCTTTCTCATCCCCTTCGGAATTCTTGCGAGCTCTTTCTAACCTTTCGTCTCGGCTTCTAATCTCTTTCGTCTCTCCGCAAGTGCCACTCCACCTGTATCCCTCTTCTAATTGTGAAGCAATTTTAGGGTGTCATTTTGTTTGCTAGTCGTTTAAATTTTAAAGAGTTGTAAATCTTTTATTCTAAGTTTATTTTAGGATTGAAATGTAAGAGTTTGTTCTAATATCTCTAAGTGATTCCCTTCTTTTTGTGGTTTCTTTTGGGTTGTCTATGTGGGTTCAAGAGATATAGGCCCCCCCCTGTATTTTTTTGCCCGCATCATTTGATATCAGAGCAAGTTAGGAAGTCTTAGGTTTTAGTTGTCAAGTCTTATTTTTGTTTGTCAAGTTTTGTTTTGTCAAGTCAAGTCTTGTCGTGAGTCTTATTGTGAGTCTTAAGTTTTTAGGTTGAGTCCTTTGAGTCTTTTTTTTTTTGAGTCTTTCTTTGAGTCTTGTTTGAGTTGTCAAAAAAATTAAAAAAGACAAAAAGACAGAAGAAAGCAAACCAGATGAAATTTAAGTTCCTATGAATAGGTGGATTCCATCAAAGTCAGCAAATCTTTTGGAGTATGAACTGTATAAACTTCAATCATGGATGCACTTATGTACAGAAAGGTATTTCAAGAAAAAGCAGTGTTTACAAGATTGATTTCTGAAAGAACGAGATGAGATTATGCAGAAGTATGAAGATTTGATCAATGAATTGGATGCACAGTATTCACCTCCTCGAAAGAAACAACAGCTAACTCATCGGGGGATGAGTTCTCAAGAAGGGGAGTCTGATGTAGACAAAGGGGGGGTCAACTCATGTCCAAAATAAATCAATTTTGGCCTCCCTCGAGTTTATAAGCTCAATCAAAATTAAGTTGAAATTTTAGCTCATTTATGAGCTGATCTTTAGTTTACTTATTGAACTAAGGGTTACCTCATTATTAGCTAACATTTTAGTTCATAGTTATCTTTTTATTAATATAATTTTTATTGTTTTTTAATTATGTTTGTCTCTTGGAATTCCAAACCGGCTTTTGGAATTCAAAGATGTGTTGTTTCCCATGCCGTGGCTCCTTGGCTTCCACCATGGGCTGCTGTTTTCCGTGCCTTTGCCCCTTGGATTTCCGGCCGG